TGCGGGAGGTCGGGGGGCAACATAAAGGGGGTGAGGGAGAGGTGCCCACCCGTCCCACCTCCCTCCTGTGGAGGCAGGGGGGAGAGGGAATCAATCAGTGCAAATCAGAAAGAAAACCACCGGGGGGGGGGGGGGGCCGGTGGGGAGGGGGAAAAAAAAAAAAGAAAAAAGCCTTCTCCAGGGTTTAAACCGCCTCCTTGAAGCGGGGGGGCTACAAATGTCCCCCCCGTGGCGGTGAAGGGTGTGGGGAGGTGGAGGCTGCTCCTGCCCCCTTCCCTGCGGGTAGGACTGGGATTTGTACGGCAGCAGGAGTGAATGTAACTCTGGAAATGTATGGAGGGGGAAGCCATGTTTGATTTATTCCTCCACTAAACACTGGTGTGATGATCCTTCTGCTTACACCCTTCTGCAGTCCATCCTGGACCTGTATGGGAGGAGAGCCTTGTTAGGAAAAACGGGAAGAAAACATTCCTGCGAAGGCGTTACGGGCTCCTTGGCTCAATCTTCATTAAGTATAAGAGGATAGGGCTCTTGTAACTTGAATTGATATTTGTGTGGTAAAAGAGCCTGGGGAACTTGTATTCCCAAGGCCATAGTTACAGTTCATCTGCTGTGGCTTTACCGCTCTGGGGGTGGAGAAGGGAATTTGCCACACTTCTTGAACGTATTTATCCTTGCTTTTTGGTTTGGTTTGGTTTTGTTTTGTTATTTTTTTTTTATTTAAATATGTCGGCTGAAAGGAGGGGTAAATACTGGTAGAAGTACAGAGACAGTAAACACCGTATTTAAACAGAATTCAGAGAAAATGGGCCTCTTGCTAGCAGTCATTAAACAGGCAAGAGGCTGGTATCAGTCATTGCCCATGTATTTTGTGTGCGTGAATAGTTTCCTTATTGGCATTTGCATTAAAATTGGTTTATAATGATTCTTAAATTTAGGAGCTAGTGCTGCCCGCGCTGAGTAAGCTAAGCGAGGTCTGCTTTAAAAAAAAAACCAAAAAACCAAAGAAGGAAGATATGTTTGGCGTTTAGCCTTTTCAAACATCTAAGGAAGGTAACTGTAAACACTGTAGGGTGGCAATGAAGTTTGTAATAGATTTTGCAAAGAGTCCTTGCTGGTGGTTTATGCGGAGGTATATGCTTGCTAATATTTCTTAAACATGGAATGTGTGGCTTCAGCTGCAAGAATAAATTGGTTCTTCACCAAAATGTTCATATGTTAGTAGAACCTCAGTAAATTTATTGCTGAGGCTATTATTTGCTTGTTTTGCTGTGGGAATTTTGCTCAGGAAATGCAGCATATCACCCTTAATAAACTCCTCAATTTCACACTGTGGTATTTATTTGACTGTTGGATGTAATCATTGAATAAAACCACTGTTTTGCAGGACTATGCAGGGCTCAGTACTTACAGCGTATGCAATTTTTGGTTGTTTCAGTAAGCATCTATATCCCATATATGAAAGCATGCTGAGATTTTCATCTATGATATGACAATTTCTGATTCTGATTTTCATCAGAATATATGACAGGTTTTTTTCAGTTTTTGAATATAAAAGCTCTGGATATTCCTGGAGACTGTACGGTTAGTTCTTGTAACGGTTATAGGAGTATCCACACTGATACATATTTGGAAAAATTCAGATATTAACAGTACAGTAAAACCTATTAATTTATCAAATATTATTTGAAAATGTCAGAAGAAACTAGGTCATTATACTTTAAGGGTGTAGGTATTAAGTCGTTTAGAAAATGGAAATTAAATGTTAAATATATTTCCTTTTAGTTCAATACAAATCCAATGAATGTCTAGTAAGGAAAAAAAAAAGTGTTTTAATATCTGTAGGGCTATGTGCTTACTCTGAAGCCAGTGGTTGTTTTGCAGATGAGACTATTGGGTTTAAATTACTGCCTGCATGCAATAGACTGGATATTACAACAAAAACAACCCCACTTTGTTTCAGACAGGAAGCAAAAATGATTGTTGAGGGGGTTGCTTTCTAATGTTTGGGTGGTGAAATTGATGCGTATGGGTATACATAAGTATGTATGCGTATATATATTTTTATATATATGAGTTTGTGCCCAAAACATTGCGCTAACAAAACGTCAAAGGCATGGAAAGAAGGGATTGTTTTTCAGTGCCCTATTGTTTGTGGCCCATTCACCTCTCACTTTTGCACTGAGCCTGCTTTTTGTTCCACCGGTGTCAGTGTGTTTCCCAAGCAAGGCCTTATTTCTACAGCCTGATAAATGCGTGTTTTTCCTTGTGGTCGATCAAAGCCTATTGACTGCATTGGGACTCCGTGCGTATAGAAAGGTTCATCTGCTCCGGTCAGATTACTGGATCAAGGATGTAGTTCATGATGAGGAGAAGATACAGGCACAATTCGTGCAGCATTTCAGTCACCTCTGGTCACTCCTGCTTACGTAACTGCAAGGCATCTTTTAGGTTTTAAGCAGAGAAGATGGTTGAGTGCATGAAAATTGCAGGTTATTTTCTATGTAGAGCAAGGTAAAGCACCTAGCCTTTTCTGGGGGAAAGAATTTCACCCCTCCTCGAGAGCACTGTGCTGCACAATGGGAAGCATCTACTAAGTGGTATTGCTGAAAACAACAGATACCCTAACGTTCAGTAATCAAACATCAATAAAGAAATGCCTGATGGGACTAAGAGTAATGCAGTAGATGATGATGGCTGCGTATTTTAATACTGTTCTTGTGGCTGTACTATATGAGCTCTTTCATTACTTTTCTGCAAAGACAGATGAAATGGCCTTACGGTTGAGTAAATATGATAGGTCTGGTATAATTTTTGAATCTAGCCTTTGGATGAAGGAAGAATGGAGATAATGAAGTAGATCTAAGTGGATAAGCAAGTCCATGTTTATAAGAAGCATCGCTTTCCAGTTAGGGTGTAGCCTTGAGAAATGTCTTCACCGAGGGTGTGCTGGCACCTCGGTGATGTAAATGAGACAGCGGGTGTGGAATATGGCACCAGGATAATCAGTCAGGTGCTAACGTGGAGAGAGAAAATAATTTCCCATCAGAGCTTGGCATGGGAATCCAAATTTCCTTTGGTGCATCATTGTGGAGGACTTGGGAGGAAGGGGGTGGGTGAGGAGGGCCTTCTTGACGTGGCAGTAGTCACCCTTGCAACTTCATGTAGCTTGTTGAATGGGTCAGCTATTTTACAAAATTAATGGTTACTTGGAAGGCTTTCATTCTAAGAACATTTTTTGAAGGAAAAGGGAGAAACTGCCTGAATTCACCCTTGGCTGCACCTTCAAATTAGCTTCTCTATGACCTGCAGTCATTGGAGGTAGTAAGACGGCTGTATAAATGTATTTACTTTCTTCCCTCCAGTTTACACTGACAGAAATTACAAAAGTGATACATCAAGTGCTATTTTTAATGTTTTTATCAAGTTGATGTTGTCCAGCATAGTTATTTTATATTTCCTAGCGTCAGCAGGAAGGGAAGCTTTTGGAACGTGTTACAAGGGAAACTCAGACCATACTCTATTCTGCTGCCCTTCTGGTGAATAGCGGGCTACAAAAATATGCAAGATTCCTGGAGAACAGATCGTATATACTAATACCTT